CCATGTGTAAGAATCTAAACTCTCATTTGTTTTATCTTCATCTTCGCTTCTTTGTGATTGAAATTGTTTATCCAAAAAATTGTCTTTAAAATGAAAAATTCTCATAAAATGGTCCATTTCTAAACGCCTTGAATTTTTATCACTATCTGCTTTCGATAAAAAGTCCATAACTACAACTTCAAAGAACATGTGAATGACGGTCAAGAAAGCTGTAATTTGGCTGTAGAAGTCAAAAACTTGATGAATTAGTTCAGTTTCAGGTGAATGAACCCCGACTGAAAGTATTGATATAAGGTGCTGCAAATTTTTAATTGGTTGGCGTTGGACATTTGGATATTGAGAAAATGGTGTCTTGGATATTAACTTATTAAAATCAGAAATGAAGCCTTTTGGTATTTGATCTAATTATGATCGAGAGAAAAAATAGAAATTTTAATAAGCCACGATTTAACTCACAATTATTTTTATATAAATAAATAACAAAAAAAAGTTTTTTTTTATTTTTTTAAAATTTTTTTATTTATAAACTATAATATAATAAAAAATTTACTTATCAACAACCCGTAATCCATATTTCATAACACATAATAATAATCACACCATAATAACTTGTACATATTTACCTTTACCTTCATTGGGATTTAAAAAAGTTTTCCATATCTCATTTTTTATCTCATCTAAAGTACTACTCAGAACCTCTATAACTTTACTAACAAGATCCTCGGTCAATAAATTTGGTGAGAATGGAGAATAAGAAGTATTGGAAAAGAAAGATTCTTGTCTATTGGGAGATATATTAGATGAGTCGGGAAAAGGAGAAGAACATTCCAGCAATTGTTGTTGTTGTTGTTGTTGTTGTTGTTTTGGAGGGTTTACGGATTTGAAAATGAATGGAGAAGTGGTGGTGGAAATAGAATTTCCAATTTTTGTTCTTTTGCTTCGCGATGCGTTAGAGTCATCAGTACAAGTAGACCAAGAAGCCCAATAAGCTAAGTTTGGAGGAATTTCTTGTTTATTGAGAACTGTTTTTAGCCAATCCGAGCTTTTCCCCAAAGTCTCATCGCATATTCCTTTGGATTGAGGCATAAAGCTTAAATTCTATAAAATAAAATATTATTAATTAGAAATGGAATTATAAATAGGCTTATTAAACCACATAATACATATAAAAGTTAACCGTAAATCGATAAGTTCAAATTTTACATTGAACCATGCGTGTAACTTTCCATTTTATATTGGATCATTCGATATAATGAATTTAATTGTATACCGACTTCAGAAGCGCCAACCAATTGTATATCAGGCTATCTGGAATCAAAACCAGTTTTAAATACTCAAATGAATATGCAGTATTATATTATTGTTAATAATTACAATAATAAAAATAAAACATATTGCCGATCATTCCATATATGCTCTTTTATAACAATTTTTTAAATTTTTTTTGTTGTTTTTTGAAGGAACCACCGATAGTAATGATTAGATTATTACCAAGCAAGCAATAGGAAGTTTTTATTTGTTATTTGTTATTTATTATTTGTTATTATTTATTATTTATTTATGTCATTATATCATTTATTATTGTGAAGTTGCTTTTTAAAGCATAAAAACATCAAAACTCAAAACTCAAAAACGCGACGATGGTAGTAACGGCGACGACGACGATGATGATGACGACGATGATGATAGTGTTGTTTTTAATAGAGATGACACATAAAATAAATATCTCACGTTGTTTTTGTAACTAAAATGCATATAAATACGAGTGAGTATACATATATATGTATTTTTATCTATCTATTAATAAAGTCATTTTCTCCAAAATAAGATTTAATTAAAACAAAATGAATCAGAATGAACGCCGTATCAATAGTCACGGTGGCTATACATAATGGTGTCGGTGATGGACTTATTTATTTATACATAGATAGATTTACATATTAGATTTATTATTATTTATTATTATTTGCTCAACAATAATAAAAATAATAATATCAAAAAATATTGTCTGACTAATCTAACATACACACGCATATGGATGGGGCTAAGCAAAATTTTCTAATCAAAGAGGAAAGATCAAAAGGCGTGATGTTAACGCGTAAAGATGTCACTTTGAAAACAGGTTTTAGTACAAGTTAAATTGATAAAGATAAAAATGGATTAATAATGAAAATAAAGTTTATATTATATTATATATATCTGGTTAAGACTTGCTTATAAGGAGTAGTGTATTTATTTACTCTGTTGCATTCCATCCACACGCACACATTTACTCTTTTTTTATTTGTATTATATATAATATATACATTAATAGAGCATAATTGGGACTTATTGTGTGTGCCATTCTTAAAATATAGAAATGTTGTATCAAGCAAATAAAAAAAAACAAATAAATAATAAATAAATATAAACAATAAGATTAAGAAATATCAAATACTTTTTTTTATAACACACCCAAGATGATGAAGAAAAGAATAATTATAGTAATTAAAAATAAATAAATAATTTGGTAATTGTAATAAGTAGTTATCATTACTATTATTGGATTTATCATTGGATGTTTTCCTGGAACCTGGTCGTTCATCCCAAGTAATTGGGAACAATGAGAGTTTTTTTTTTTCAATGCATTTTTGGCAACCAAGTAAAAAAATTTTTACTAGCCTATCTACTGATTTTTTTAAAAAATAATTTATCAGCAAAAAACTAATCCGTCAATCGATCAAGACCGATTGATTAATCAATTAACCAGCGTAATCGATCACCAATGAGATAATTACGATTACTATAGATAGAGTAATCGATATCAATGATAACTTAATATTAATCTTTTCTAAATTTGTAATATTTATTAATTAATGTGTCAAAATTTTAACTGTTATACGACAGAAATATGCTTCTTAAACCAAATAAAACAATTCCATGTACGCACAGAATCATAATTTCGTCACGGGTAATTCTGCGTATTTATTGGGCAATCAAACGCGTAAAAAATAAAGTATTTAGAATTCTGCACCTTAAATTCTTGAAGTTGGCAGTTCAAGTAAAAATAAAAAATATTTCATATTTCATGACAAATTTCTTTCACGTCCGTTATATTAATTTTATCAATGTTCTCACCCCTTTCGGCACTATTATAATTATTTCCATAAAAAATTAGTAATTACTGATTCTGATAATAATAATAATCTCGTTTAAATAAAATTTTCCGTTTACGGTTAAAATGAATTATTTTCTAATTAATTAATTAATAATACAATTAATCGGATGTCTATATTATAAATATCATTCATTATTTATACAATGAGAATTTATTCCCCCCGCATTTGAAACCTGTTCTATCCAAAGGGGTTTCGCGCGTCTTTTCTAATATTATTATTTGCTTATTTTTTATTTTTTCTTTGTCTTGGTTGAAATTTTAATTAATTAATTAATTTATTTATTTATTCATATGTTTGTTTGGCAATTGCTTTAGTCATTTGACAACCTACCGCATTATGTTTGCATTGGAAAGAAGATGTGATAAATATAATTGTTATATTAATATTAATTAATTAATTAATAATGTACAATATGGAATATATTTGAAAATCTTACCATTAATAAGACAAATAAAAGTTTCTTAGAAACTTATTGAACTTATTAGTAAAGATCAGTCATTAGCACATCATGGCTTTTAAAACATTGAGCCACTAAAAAGAGTCATCGATCTTGTATTTACATTGCATTATTTTGTTATCTAATTATAGTTCTTACCAATTAAAAAAAATAAAATTTTCTACCACGTACGTGACAAATCATTTTCTATCTTATTTTATGTTTTCCGTAATAATCAACAACAATATTACATTATATTATTATTATTATTTCATCTCTCATTCACGCAATTATGATTTTACCTTTTTTAAAAAATATAATGCATCGTTCATTCATCAATTTATTATAATATCATTTCTTTGTGTGTTTTCTCTTTGTGTCTCTCATTTTACTGCTTCCCCATCATTTCCGCTTTTACATTCTGTTGATTTTATTACTATATAAATATATTAATCAATATTCATTATTTCTATTATTAGAAAAAAATTTTTTTTCCTATTTTAAGATTATTGATCGTTTATTAATGCATTTGTTGTTTAGATTTTTTTTTTTCGTATCGTGAAAATTAAATTAAATTAATAAAATGATCGGCAAATTTTGGTTCTAAAATGGTATTCCAATACATACTATACCGAAGGTAAGGGTGATGATGATGTAACTTTTAACTTTTTTATCTTTAGTGAGCGAATGTTCATATATATAGTGTGTGTAAAAAAAAAATTTTATTGCAATCATGTCATACCAGTGACTCCATCATTACAAATGCTAAAAGCTCAACTCAAAAACTTTTCGAATTTTGTTAATAATCTGATATGATTGTCCAGGATCCTGCCTGCCAGCTCCCTCGGATTCCTTTTTGTAATATAAAATATAATAATAAAATTATATACTGTGTTTATAATAAATATTGCATACAATGTGATATACAATACTATTTTCTTTTCTACAGCTTCGGTCGTTAGTATTATTGGTATTAGATAGAGCATTATATGCTTTTACCATTTTCCTAATTTTCCCTTGCTTGGTACCAGATCTGGGTTTGTGATATGAAAAAAAAAAAAAGTTAATAATGACAATATTGCACGTATACGTGCTATTTAACCAATTAATTAAATCGATCGAATTAACAATTAACAAAAGCTAGGAGTAATTCACATCATACTAAATCTAGCTTATATATGGCAAGTAAACATTAAATTAAAACCGTTTTTTTTTTTTCAAATTCGATTTTAAGATCTTAATCCCATTTGTCATCTCGCGATTTAATTTGTTATCTGAATGTGTCATTCATTCGTTGACTTAATCAACATTTGTTCAAGATCCACAATATGATTTTTTTGAATATTGTTTGTTTTTTTTAAGAAACCACTCACTCTCCTCTCGACTAGTATATGCTATCACCATGATAATTATGGCTAGCCTTGTTTCCGTTTTTATCTAGATTTTCTCTTATTGGTTAAATATTGTTTATATTGTTTATTGTTTCTCAAACAACATGTTTCAATAAAAAAACACTATTTGGTTACTCGTGGTTTTACCTTCTTGTAAAAAAAATTTTTTCTCGATCAACAAATTAAAAAAAATTTCATTGATAATCAAATAGATTTTTTTATTATTACATTTTGAAATTGTCAGAATGATCAACTTTAAACTATATAAATTAATTATACAGTATATGGAAATAGAAAGAATAGAAAACGATTTTATGGCATTTAACAGATACAATTTATGTAATCACAATATATAATGTATATAATAGCAATAATGACAATTGAGATAAATAAATGAATTTCCATGTGAAATTATCATTATTTTGTGCGAATCACGTGGTCCCGAAATTAAAGAATTAAGGGGATAATTTTACATATTTATTATGAATATTGACGTCTTTTAAGATATCTCCTATTATTTCTAGCAGTACTACCTACCCCTTCGCCCGCTTCAACACTCATATATGGTAACTTATTCCATGGTATTCCACAAACTCCAAACGACACCATCACCCCTTTGCTACTCCTACTCCTCGAATGGTAATCATCATCATCGCCACCATTATCTATCATGAACCATATTGGCAGTTCCAAATTTCCTTTCATTATTGCATTGGTCTTGAAAAGGATTGTAGGCGGGAGTGGTGTTAGTATATGAAATGTGTGGTTGGTTGGATCAATCGATCGTATAATTGCTAATCCAAGGCATTGATGTTCTGTTGGTGATGGCAGTGTTGATCTCTTTAGATTATATTTTGGTGGTATCTAAAATAGATCATATTATCTCACGTATAAATATATAATATAAATATTCAATAATTATGTATTTATATAACGCTTACAATCTTCTTTTTATGACCATGTTCTTCTTGATTTTCAATTATCATTGAATCATCTTCATTATCATCATCAAATAATCCTTCATCTTCTTGAAAATAATAATGATCAGAATTATTATCTCCAATCAATGCGACCAACGACCCATTTAATGCATACAATAATTGACTATAAGGTACCTCTTCTGACATCAACATTACTCCTTTAGTTAAACATCTTTTCCAATTCAAACACCATGGTAAATGCCTAACTAACGGTTTACGAAATTGCCACCATTCATCATTACCATCATCTTGTGTTCCATTATTATAATTTCCGTGAAAATAAAATACCATATTCAAGGTTCGATAATCTGAAGATGTATATCTTTTGTTGGAAATGGTGGAATTATCAAAAAATTCAAGTTTTATTATTTTAAGAGCTGTCGATTCATTCGTCATTTTCAATGAAGATATCAAATCGGTTGGAAATGCTGGCAAATTATGTATTTCTTGATCAACGGAATGAAATTGAAATATATGTGTCGGTTTAGAGAATTTTATAACCTCGTAACAAATATCAAGCCCCATTCCCTTAACCCAACCGTGTGTATTGATTATTAATGGAACACCTTTTATCATTATCTCATCTCCATCTCCATCATTATCATCACCCATCATCGTCATATTACCACCACCATGCATTCCATAATCTGTTCCACATGCAAATTCACGACGATATACTTTTATTAGTTGTTGGATACATTCCAAATAGTAGTCTGGATTGTCCCTTGGGTTATTGTCACCAATAAAATACGAACAATACGGCTGTTGAATGTGTGTAAATGATGGTCCTTATTAATTATAATTATTATTAGTATTATTCACCATATGTGTTATTTATTATTATTATTATTAATTACTTATTAGTCTTATTTATCATCATCGTTATCATTTATTACTGAAAGATATGACACATACCAAGAATAGGTGATTCTATAATATTGAGTGACAAAATTCCTTCTGGTGTAAATTCACTTTGTCCAATATCTGTTTCAAGATACGCAACTTTTGGACATCTGCAAAATAATCGGGTTTAGAATTAAATTTGTTCGATTTAATGTTTCATCAATAAACAAAAACTTTCGTTAATAATTACACATTAAGTAATCTATTAAGTAAATATTTAGAAAAACTAGATTTTCCAACATTTTTATGTCCTACGGTTATTCCTATTAGTGGTATGCCTAATAATTAATCAATAAAATATATGAATATATCAATTATATATATTATAATTTCAAATAAACCCATATATTTATTCATTATTTAATTGAGTACATGCCATACTTAATTAAGCCAGTCTCCATTTCATCTGCTGCATGCTTCCAAGAATCTAATATTTTAAAAGATGTAACACCCTCTTCATTTATCATTTCAAAAATCTAATATATATATTATATATATATATATTTATAATTATAAATCTATGTAAATTTTCTCGTACACAACTATTACTATTACTATTGCTATCATTATTTTTATTATTATCAAGTAAACCATACCGGATAAAATCCTGGAATTTGAAAAAAATCTTGTTTTTCTATGTTTGATTTATACTTGTCATCATCAGGAATGAAAATATCACTATATATTGGTGCGACAATTCCCAAATGTTTAATACCACACCATGAAACAATATCTCGGAAAACAAGTATGGTGTCATAACCATTTCTCAATATGTTGTGCTCGTTGTTTTTTTTCAACATTTCATTGATGCAATGTTTTATACCATTTGATGCTTTAATACTAGAATGAATCTCCTTATTATCTGATGATGATGATGACGATGATGATAAATCTTGTCTCTCAACTGACTCTATAACTAAAAGTGAATGTGTTTTAGGTGAGAACACTGGATGAAATAGAATGTCCATTTCTTTTTCACCTTCAAAATTATTAAAATTGTTTTCTAAAAATTTTGATTTTGCACTTTTTAATCTATATCCCATAATTAATGCGTCTCCATAAATTGTTGCAACAAGAAGACTACCTTGAAAACATATTTTCTATAATTAATCATATTAATATAATATAATAATAATATCTATTTAAAGTATATGGTTGTATTAGAGAAAAATTACCTCTCCGCTCTTCATTGCAACTATACACATTTTATAATTGTCGTTATCATTGTCACAGCGAATAACATTCAAGGATGTAGGTATGAAATTTGAAAATATTGTTGGACCAGACGTTTCCTTTTTTAAAAATTAAAAAAAAAAAAACTTTTTCTCTTCTCGTAGATCAGGTTACACGTACACTATAATACTAATACTGAAAAATTTTTGTTTGAAAGATTTAATCAACCATTAACTCGATAAAATTTTGTCAAAATGCCTCCCAAGAAAACTAATCAACAATCAGATAAATCAAAACAAAAAGATAAACAAAAGATTGTTGAGGACAAGACCTTTGGTTTAAAAAATAAAAAGAAATCTGCCAAGGTCCAACAACAAATCAAACAGATTCAAAATCAAGTGATGCAGCCAGGAAATAACAAAGCACTGGTATTTTATTAAAATTGTTTTTTAATGACTTTTTTGTAAAATTAATTTTCTAAAAAAAACTGCATGATTTATATAGAAAGAAAAAGAACAAGAAAAACAAGCACTCGCAAATAAGAAAGCAGCAGAACAAAAAAAGAAAGAAGAACTTGCAGAATTATTTAAACCTGTTCAAGTACAAAAGGTACCGTTTGGCGTCGACCCTAAAACTGTATTATGTCAATTTTTTAAAGCTGGTCAATGTCAAAAAGGTGATAAATGTAAATTTTCTCATGATATGGCGGTAGAAAGAAAAAGTACAAAGATTGATCTGTACACTGATGCTAGGGCTGACGAAGCAAAAAAAAATGGTAAGTGTTAGTTCTATTCATGTACATTTATGTGTACATATGAATATTGTATCAATGATTTATGTGGTAAATATTGCAACCATCTTACTATTAACATTATTGTCACTAATTAATATTAGACACGATTGATAAATGGGATCAGAAAAAATTGGAAGAAGTTGTTACGTCAAAACATGGTAATCCTAAAACAACAACAGATATTGTATGTAAATATTTCTTGGAGGCAATCGAAAATCAAAAATATGGATGGTTTTGGGAATGTCCAAATGGAGGTGAGCTGATCTATTAAAGATTTGTTCGTATTACCTATTATTTATTATTATTATTATTATTAAAAATGAGCTTTATTTTGGAAAAAATATTTCTGAATTAAAAATTACTTTTATATTTGAATAAATTAGGAAAAGCTTGTAAATATAAACACGCTCTTCCACCAGGGTTTGTGCTCAAGAGCAAAAAAGTTAAGGAAGAAGAAATCGATGAGATAACGCTCGAAGAATTTTTGGAAACTGAAGTAAATATTTACACTATAATTATAATTTTCGTTGATTATTAAGTTATGCTTAATAATGATGATGCCATTATTATTATTATTGTAGCGACATAATTTAGGATCTAATCTTACACCAGTTACTTTTGAGAGTTTTACAGAATGGAAGAAAAATCGTAAAGCCAAACAAGACGCAGACAAGGAACTTAAACTTGCTGCCAAAGAAGCTGCATTCAAGGCAGGGAAATCACAAGGAATGTCAGGTCGTGATCTTTTCACATTTAACCCAGATCTTGTTAATCAATCAATTGATGATGATGACGATGATGAAGGCTGGGATCTTTCTAAATATAAACAAGATGACGAAGTCGATGATAATGACAGTGATAATACAGAAGAACATGAAGGAGAACAATTAGTATATGGCCAAGAAGCTGTTGATGAAAATGAGAATAGGTCAGACAATCCTTATGGGGAAGGTGGCAGCAGTAGCAGTAGTAACAATAACAGTAAAAATAATAATACATCGGATAATATTGTTAACGATGGTGAAGAAGATAACGACGATGATGAATAATCAAGATTATTTCAAATGTACACTATTTACATATATTTATTATATTTTTTGCAAGGCAACGATTATGATTTTAATGATTAATTTTTTTTTTAAAATAATTTTTTTTATTTGTTAAATAATTAAATTGTCAAAAATAAACAAATGATTTTTAACAATATGTTTGTATCACACACACAAATCACACAAATTTAAGCATGGGGATGTTTAATTTATTGGATATAAAATGTGACAAAATAAAATTTACATTTTTACCAAAATTAGAAATTTCAGGGAAATCAAGATTTATATGGAACGTGTAACGGTGATCACAACGAACAAAAAATTTAATGTGTAAATAAATATATATATACACGAGAGTTTATTCCTATATTACCACTATCACTGTCATCTTATTCTTGTTCTACTGCTAATGCTACTGCTAATGATAATACTGCTTTCAATTTGCCATTATTATATTTGATGACATTACGTTAGAGAAAGTTAAATCAAAGAAATTTGCATAAATGTTCCATTTATGAATTGGTTATAAAGTAATAATATTTAATAATAGTATGACTGTGTTCATTCATCATATTATGTTGTACTCAAATAATTAATTGCATATATAACTATTAATAAAAACAAGTATTAATAGATAGATAAATAAGGCGTCAATATTCCATTCAATAAAAATTACATCTATCTGCAGTTTTTCTTGAATTTGTAATATAAAAGATAGCCTTTATTCATAAGAGAGTAAGAAATTACTTACCTGTAATTAAATTATATATAAAAAATAGTTTAATAATTCCATGAAGAATACCTCTTTAGATATTGACATATTAGAGATGCCACATGTTTAAATAACAATCTATGTTTGATTTTACATCTAATGGTAGAGTCTCATCTGTGATTATATGGGAAAAAGGTTTTTTTTCTAATAAAGCGAAGTCGCTATTTAAATTCCTTTGCTTCTAATAGAAAAATTATTTCATTAGAGAAGAAACTATATTATTTTTTTTCATCTTACATATAATTACAAAGTTTATTTGAATATATTAATACCGAAGTACTTTAAAACAATACAGTCACACAACACAATTTCGAGATCGTCACGAAGTGATAGACGTGATAAATAGAACTTCCATCATGCATGCTACAAATTTAACGCAAACCTTTGAATTTAAAATTAAAAATACTATATCTTGGTACAAGTCCCACATAGATAGTTTACAATGGGATGCTTCAGTGTAAGCCTTAACGTTTTGTGAGCGATTCTTGACATACTTCTGTAATGCATTTTAAAAACATGTTAAGGGACTCTGTTTAATGGTTGATTTGCAAGATGTACATCTAAACGTTTTAAGGATCAAGATTTTGTTTGATACGTCCACAACATCCACATGTTTTACAAGTGTATTTTCCGGTGCAGATGACAAAGATAATCGCAAGATTTATGGAAGTATGTCCAGGTCATCATTTTTTAGATTGGATCTTTTTAAAACTGTCATTTTTGGTATGTCTTGTGTTTTAAATTGAGGAAGTAAATTAACATGATGGTTTCATATAACCATTGCAAATTTTCAATACTCATCCACCAGATTACGAATTTTCTTGTGGATCTAGAGCATGTATCAACAAAGCTTGTATCCTTTTACGCTTATTTGCTTTACCATGAATAGAGTTCCTTCACTTTGAATTCTATCATAATGCAAGCACAAGCGATATAATCTATTTATTTTTTGATTTTCCCATTCTATAACCTCGCCACTTGGACTATATACAGCCATGAAAATTCTCACTTCTGGATCAGAAAAATAATGTCAGCACCTCTATTTCTCTTCAACCACCGAAAATTTAGGACCTTGGTTATCGGGTTTAATTCCAGGTGGTTAGGGATACATAAGTAGAATTCGCCAAGACGATTCATGGCGAGATGATAGTCATATTTTATTTCAGGTATTTTCTCACTTGATTTAATTAATATCTTTGAGGAATGAATAGTCCTCCAACCTCTGTAATGACAATTGGCTTTTTTTTGGAGAATATTTGACTTATAACTATTCAATAATAGGCCAATCATTGTTGCATCTCTAATACCATAAAAGGTGCTATGAACCCATTCGAGACTAGAGTCAATGGATGTAAATTTTTCAGATTTATTGATATAATTTTCATTTATTTTATTTTTTATATCAATATTAACTGTTCTTAAGCATTGGTTGTATGTCCAGCGAATAGCACAAATCCATTTTATTATTGTTTACTTTTTTCTCCAATTAGAGTAAAGTCTGGTTTTAAGAGCTTTCACGAATGGAGCTTTTTAGAAGATGAAGAAGTTACATATTTAAAGCTCTTCCATATGCCATCTGGTAAAAAGGGAATACGATTTAAATCATAAGGCGTTGGTTTAGTTGAATCAATTGTAATCCATGACCCAAAAAGCTAGTCTTTTTAAAGAGTCATCCATTGATTTGAATACAGCGAGTGATTATGAGTCACAGTCAACTGTGGAAGATTGCATATAATTTTTAAAATTTTTTTGATAAATAAAATATAAGAAATTATCACTCAATTGAGAGAATTTGCAAAAAAATCATTTTTTGATTGTAAGGAATTTACTATTGTAAAAAATAAAATATTAATAATAATCGTTTTTTTATCACGCGAAAGTGACTAGTTAGTCGCATTTTTCCCGAATTTATATTTATTTTTCTAGTACTAGTGTGATATTTGTCCTGCGACATTGCAGTATACATACGACGCAAATAGGAAACCGCAGTACTCTGAATTGGGAATCTTATTCAATAGCCCCCACATATTTATATTTTCAAAAAAAAAATAACTCTTTAATATTTATTAACTTTTTTAACTCTTTCTTATCTATTTTAAAACAACAATCAAATCGTTGGAAAATCGTAAAAGCAAATAAATTTAAGAATAATTCATCTATAACGCTTTATATAAAAATTGTTTATAAAAATATTCCGGATTAAGGAAAATTTTTCCTTTTGCTTTAAAGCGTAGCTTTATAATTTTTCTATTAACCTACCTATAAACAATATGACCCAAAAAGCTAGTCTTTTTAAAGAGTCATCCATTGATTTGAATACAGCGAGTGATTATGAGTCACAGTCAACTGTGGAAGATTGCATATAATTTTTAAAATTTTTTTGATAAATAAAATATAAGAAATTATCACTCAATTGAGAGAATTTGCAAAAAAATCATTTTTTGATTGTAAGGAATTTACTATTGTAAAAAATAAAATATTAATAATAATCGTTTTTTTATCACGCGAAAGTGACTAGTTAGTCGCATTTTTCCCGAATTTATATTTATTTTTCTAGTACTAGTGTGATATTTGTCCTGCGACATTGCAGTATACATACGACGCAAATAGGAAACCG